CTATTGCATGCCCTTGAGGCAGGATGATTGGATGCTTCTGCTCGAAGGGAATATCCGCATTTTCCAGCCTACCACCTACTCTCAATATCTCATTAGCATCAAGGAACGGATTTAATGGTTTTAGTTTCTTCATGCTTTCTACTTTTGTATCATCTGGCTTACCAAATACTTCCCATTGCACTGCTTTAAATATATTATTTGTTATGCGCCGTAATTCGCCAGCTGATAACGTATGATTGATGCCTAAAAATTTTGCTTTTTTGTGCTAATGGTACCATCTCAAACAGTATGACATTACCCGAACCATTCGATGAAATGTGGAAAATTTAGTAAATGCCCGAGGTAATCCGATCTCAATATCCATGTCATTGTTCGTCACTGCTTGTACGTGTTTCTCTGGTAGGGCTTCCACATCTTGCAAGAAAATTTATTAGGCCACTTACTAAAGTCCTCGGCCAACCATGCAGGTCCGTGCTACCAGAGTTCACAGTTTGACAATTCAGCAGGAGATTCGACACCTCTAGACACTATGTCTGCAGGGTTGTCCTTGCTCGAAACATGTCTCCATAATATGGCTGGCAGAAATCTCTGAAACCCTATTACTGACAAACATCTTTATTTGTGAGGGATCAGTCCGTAACCAAGCCAAGACAATACTGGAGTCACTCCACAAGAATGTTACAGCTATTTTGATGATTCCTGAAATGTCTGTTACCACACGCTTATATAATTTTGCCAGAAGCAATGCTGCTGACAACTCTAGACGGGGTAATGTTACATTTTTCAGAGGAGCTACCTTAGACTTCGAACACAGTAAATGTGTTTTTATACCCAAGTGGTATGTAGCTCTTATGTATATACAGGCACCGTACGCCTTTAGCGAAGCATCCGCGAATCCATGGCACTGTATTACGATAGGATTCATTGTGAACATGCAACGAGGAATAGAAATTTCGATGAGATGTGATAACCTATTGCCAAATTTGTCTAGTTCCTTTTTAATGGATTCTGGAATCACATCATCTCAATCAATTTTTTCTTTCCACAAGTTTTGCATAATTATCTTTGCTGTGATTGTTACCGCTGCTATTAGTCCAACCGTGTCATATATTTGAGCTATTGCCGATAGAACAAATCTTTTTGTGTGTCTTTGTATTGTACAAGTGGTTTTAGTGGTGTCAGTCTTATTTATTCTGAATACGTCACTCGTCGGGTTCCATGATATTCCTAAAGTCGTAATTGTCCCCTTTTCCGGTTGGTAATTTGAAATAGTCTGTCCGTTCTGTGGTAAAGTGTTAAGAAGTTTGTTACAGTTACTTGCCCATTTGTGCAATGTAAAGCCTCCCCCCCAAGTAATTGAATTATTTCCGTCTGTAGGTTAAGTAGTGTTCTTTTATATATATTAGCACTGATTTTATTAATATTATCCGTGATGAAGGACCAAACTTTATGGTATAAAAGGAAACACACGAAGAAATTATATACAGAATTTATTGAACACACAGAAATAATAATTTTACATTTGCGAAGCCTTAGACAGAACAGGACGTGTTTGCGTTTTGTTCCCCCACCACTCTCCTAGCAGTGGGGGAGGCCGTTATAGAGCGGCGCGAAATTTGAATACAAAATTTAATCGTCCATATTGTTTTTATTATCCGTCATTTTTCTATTATTATCTATCCAAATTATCATATTAGGGCCGCCCATATATGGCCCCTATGAGAGCCATGCACTAAATTCCGTAATGCGGACGCCGGAGTACAGCCCTATAGGAGCCGGACCTGTGTAACTGTGGGCTTGCCGTAACAAATTTCTACTCGGGTATTTCTAGTTTGAAAAATAGATGGGAAGGAGATACCAAAAAATAACTAGTGTTGCATGGCATAGTGCCTTAAGGCAAATTGCTGGAACTTCCCGTACCAAAAATTATAATTTTTTTTAAAAACGATTGACATTTTTAAAAAAAATTTACTTCGAAAAAATAAGATTTTTGAGAAACTATAAATTGGACAAAAAATTACTTTTTTTGAAAAAAAAAAATTTTTTTTTAAAAAATTTAATTTTTTTTTTAAATTTTTTTTTGAAAAAATATTTTTTTTTTATTTTGGCATATCTTGGAAGATCTGAACTTTTTTTCATAGCGGCGTACTGCTTTAACTGCATAGAAACAAAATGTCAAAGCGCGTAAGCGCCGCGTCGCCGTCTAACGAATAAACATTGGTACGGAACCCATAGGAATGCAAACAAAATTTATACTTATTGTTAAAATCTCTATAAAATATCTGATAATTTGATGTGCATATGTCTAATGATCACTTTTGACCGCCAAATGACATTTTTTTTACTTTTTTCGTTACATCTCCGAAACCGTTAGACCGGCCCTCATGAAAATTTGATCAATTCTTCATCTTGTCAATACAAGTCAAATGTTTTTTTAATTATTAAAATCGGACGCTCCGTTCTCTTAAGAACTGAGTTACCGTTTTCGGCACTTTTTGCCCCGTATTTTTGGAACGGCTCGACCTGCCTTCGCCAAAAACTAATCAGCACGTCTCCTTATCAATACGAATCGAATGCTTTTTGAATTATTCAAATCGGTTGATCCGTGTTCCCGAAATCGTCGACGAAAATTTGTATTCGCACATACATACACACACGTACATACATACATTCATACATACATACACACACATACACATACAAACATGATGTCCCTGATGACCAGGTAAATACGACAGTAGACAAAATAAACAAAACCAGAAATGGAGACTTGTTGATAACTATTTCTAAGAAAAGTGCGGACAAAGGTCAAGGACTACAACAGATTATTGCAGGCGTGTTAAAGGATGAGGCCGAAGTTATTTATAAGGGGCACGAAGAAACTATAGAAATAAGAGATATTGATGATGAAACCTCAAAAATTGATATCCAGATAACACTACAAAAAGCAACCGGAGGAGCCTGCAACACATCAGCAGAAGCAATTAGGATTCGTAAGGCATATAGAGGTACCCAGATTGCTACTGTAGCTCTTCCAGCGGCAGTTGTACACGATCTGCTCAAAGCAAGTAGCAAAATACGAATTGGATGGGTCAACTGTCGAATTAAAATCATCAAGAAACCAATTCGATGCTTTAAATGCTGGCTATTCGGGCATTATGGATCACAGTGCAAGAGCGAAGTGAATCGGACCAATCTATGCATTAGATGTGGACAAGAAGGTCACAAAATAGCCAACTGTGTAAATGAGCAAAATGTGCACTGTGCGCTGAAAATGAAAACTCTGAAAATGTAGCACATCATGCCGGCACTCACAGATGTCCTGTATATAGGGAGGCCATAGAGAAAATAATAAACGCAAAAGCATGAAGATAATTCAGCTAAACATGAATCATTGTGAGGCTGCACACGACTTGCTTATGCAGACGGTAAGAGATATGAAAATTGATGTTGCCCTCTTATCAGAACCTTACAAACAACTAACTGATTGGCCATCGGAAACGGATAGTACTACCAAAGCTGTTATTTGGTCCTGTGGCAAATTTTGTTTCCAAAATGTTGTTAGCAATAGCAACGCTGGATTTGTCGCAGGACATTCATTTATACAGCTGTTACACTCCACCTAGTCTTTCTTTGCCCGATTTTGTCGATTTTTTAGATCGTCTTGTGGAGGATGCAAATCGACACCACCTCGTAGCGATAGCCGGTGACTTTAACGCATGGGCGGTAACTGGGGAAGTAGGAAGACTAATGCAAGAGGTAAAGCACTTTTAGAGGCCTTTAATGCACTTGACGTTGTTTTACTTAATAGTGGTGATAAGCCAACCTTTGCCAAGGGCAGTGCAAGCTCAATAATAGACCTTACTTTTGTTAGCAATAGCCTCGTCAGAGGAAATTGCAATTGGGAGGTATTAGATATCTACACTGCTAGTGACCACAATGCAATCATCTGGGAAATATCAACGAATAGAAACATTAGAAGACATGCGAAAATATCTAAAGCCATTGGGTGGAAAATAAAATCTTTTGATGAAAGCGCCATGAAAGTTGCCTTAAATTGCAAACCTATAATTTCAGAACACGCAGATGAACATACTAGAGAGCTGATGGAGAGAATAACCGAAGCCTGTGATATCAGTATGACTCGTAAGCATGGCATAAATAAAAGACAATCTGTGCACTGGTGGACTGAAGAAATCAGCTCTCTTCGTAAAGAGTGCCTAAAGAAAATAAGGATCTCTCAGCGAGGATATAGTCTCACTAATTCTGCACAACTGGTAGTGGAATATAAACAAGCACATCGGCAACTAAATAAAGCAATCAAAGATAGTAAAGTTAGGTGCTGGAAAGAGCTTCTGGATGAAGTCGAGAAAAACCCATGTGGAAGACCTTATAAGACTGTAATGTCTCGCATCAAAAGCCAGCCAGTACCTTCACCAACTTGCCCACGACTATTGAATAAAATAGTAACTACTTTGTTTCCACGACAACCTAACTTAAACTACCAGGTAACACATGTAGATCTGAATAATATTCCACCTATAACACTGCAAGAACTGATGGAAGCTTGTCATCGCGTTGGTAATAGTAAGGCACCGGGATTAGATGGAATTCCTAATATTGCCTTAAAAACATCAATTATGACATCTCCGACAATGTTTCTTAATGCATATAATACATGCCTGAAAGAAGGGGTTTTTCCACGAAAATGGAAACAGCAAAGATTAGTGCTTATTCCCAAAGGAAAAAAAACACCAGATGAACCATCATCCTACCGTCCAATATGCATGCTGGACACAGCGGGTAAAATTTTTGAAAGAATAATTCACCAAAGAATGGATGCAATAGTTGACCCAATCCTAGCAGACAATCAGTATGGTTTTCGCAAAGGGCGATCAACTATCGATGCTAGAGGGCAACATCAATTTTCATATCTCTTACCGTCTGCATAAGCAAGTCGTGAGCAGCCTCACAATGATTCATGTTTAGCTGAATTATCTTCATGCTTTTGCGTTTATTATTTTCTCTATGGCCTCCCTATATACAGGACATCTGTCAGTGCCGGCATGATGTGCTACATTTTCAGAGTTTCCGTTTTCAGCGCACAGTGCACATTTTGCTGCATTTACACAGTTGGCTATTTTGTGACTTTCTTGTCCACATCTAATGCATAGATTGGTCCGATTCACTTCGCTCTTGCACTGTGATTCATAATGTCCGAATAGCCAGCATTTAAAGCATCGAATTGGTTTCTTGATGATTTTAATTCGACAGTTGACCCATCCAATTCGTATTTTGCTACTTGCTTTGAGCAGATCGTGTACAACTGCCGCTGCAAGAGCTACAGTAGCAATCTGGGTACCTCTATATGCCTTACGAATCCTAATTGCTTCTGCTGATGTGTTGCAGGCTCCTCCGGTTGCTTTTTGTAGTGCTATCTGGATATCAATTTTTGAGGTTTCATCATCAATATCTCTTATTTCTATAGTTTCTTGGTGCCCCTTATAAATAACTTCGGCCTCATCCTTTAACACACCTGCAATAATCTGTTGTAGTCCTTGACCTTTGTCCGCACTTTTCTTAGAAATAGTTATCAACAAGTCTCCATTTCTGGTTTTGTTTATTTTGTCTACTGTCGTATTTACCTGGTCATCAGGGACATCATGTTTGTATGTGTATGTGTGTGTATGTATGTATGAATGTATGTATGTACGTGTGTGTATGTATGTGCGAATACAAATTTTCGTCGACGATTTCGGGAACACGGATCAACCGATTTGAATAATTCAAAAAGCATTCGATTCGTATTGATAAGGAGACGTGCTGATTAGTTTTTGGCGAAGGCAGGTCGAGCCGTTCCAAAAATACGGGGCAAAAAGTGCCGAAAACGGTAACTCAGTTCTTAAGAGAACGGAGCGTCCGATTTTAATAATTAAAAAAACATTTGACTTGTATTGACAAGATGAAGAATTGATCAAATTTTCATGAGGGCCGGTCTAACGGTTTCGGAGATGTAACGAAAAAAGTAAAAAAAATGTCATTTGGCGGTCAAAAATGATCATTAGACATATGCACATCAAATTATCAGATATTTTATAGAGATTTTAACAATAAGTATAAATTTTGTTTGCATTCTTATGGGTTCCGTACCAATGTTTATTCGTTAGATGGCGACGCGGCGCTTACGCGCTTTGACATTTTGTTTCTATGCAGTTAAAGCAGTACGCCGCTATGAAAAAAAGTTCAGATCTTCCAAGATATGCCAAAATAAAAAAAAAATATTTTTTCAAAAAAAAATTTAAAAAAAAAATTAAATTTTTTAAAAAAAAATTTTTTTTTTTCAAAAAAAGTAATTTTTTGTCCAATTTATAGTTTCTCAAAAATCTTATTTTTTCGAAGTAAATTTTTTTTAAAAATGTCAATCGTTTTTAAAAAAATTATAATTTTTGTTACGGGAAGTTCCAGCAATTTGCCTTAAGGCACGATGCCTTAATTGCCTTAAGACAAAATTCCACTTACAGCTAGTTAATTCTCTTGTTCTTATCACTAGTAGGAAAAGAATTGAGACCATCAAGCTAAAGATAGGAAATCTTGAGATCACGTCAAAACCTCACATCTGTTACCTTGGCGTAATGCTTGATGCTCGTTTGAATTTCAATCAACAGGTGGAACACGTTAGTGCTAAGGCGTCAATAGTTAGGACGAAACTTGCTCGACTGATGCCTAATATTGGAGGTCATAAACAAACCAGAAGGATATTACTATCGTCAGTTATTACTTCAGTGCTGACATATGGTATCTCCATATGGGGTGATGCTCTTAAATCTCAAAAATCGAGGAGAATAGCAGGGCCCTTATACCGTCTCAGTGCTATAAGAATTGCTTGCGCATTTCGCACAATATCGGCGGAAGCAGTGTGCGTCATTTCAGGAACTGTGCCTCTCTTAGTCTTAGCAGAGGAAAGACGGACAATTTACCATAGAAGACATCAACAACTGTGTCCTGAAAAGTTAAGATTAGAAGAACGGCAGAACAGCATTGACCGATGGCAGCGACTGTGGGATGTCGCTGTAAAGGGCAGATGGACGCATCGTCTCATTCCTAACATCAAAGTCTGGCTAAGTCGCAAGCACGGCGAAGTAAACTATTATACTACGCAAATGCTATCGGGGCATGGCTGTTTTCGAGCCTACCTACACCGATTCAAGCACGATAGCTCGCCGGATTGCCCATATTGTTTGGGCGAAATCGAAGATGCTGAGCACGTGTTCTTCGTGTGCCCGCGATTTGGTGCTCTACGGGATGATGTGGAGGTGACATTGAGACGCACAATTACCCCAGGTAATGTTGTTAAAGTGATGCTGACAAGTGAAGCTGCTTGGAACGCCATAGACAGATTTGCGAGAGACGTTTTAATGGACCTGCGTTCTATAGAGAGAGAAAGGACGAATGGGACTTCGCCCATTTAAAAGATAAGTAAAATGTTTATGAATTATAACATTGTTTATAACAAGTTAAGAATTGTAACATTCTAGATCCTCCGCCACGAAGTAATGCCTAGCGGCGGTTTCCGTGGGGACCAGAGGCAGGGGCAAAGCGGAGGTTTTAGTCGGTATTATACCAGGGCGGTATCGAGTCCGACATACCCAGACAGAAGACCGGTCTGGATGCATAAAAGCATTTCCTTCGCTATACAAAAAAAAAAAAAGCTAGTTAATTCTAAAATTGTCTTAAATACGTGTGTATTATTGTGGTATAAAAGGAAACACACGAAGAAATCATATACAGAATTTATTGAACACATAGAAATAATAATTTTACATTTGCGAAGACTTGTTGTTTGTTAGGCGGCTTAGACAGAACAGGACGTGCTTGTGTAAAGCGTAGTGCAATCCTAGCATAAGACACTCTCCTAGTAGGGGGGAGGTCGTTATAGAGCGGCGCAAAATTTGAATACAAAATTTAATCGTCCATCCTCTCGGGCGATGCCAAGCATCCATATTTCTTAGAATAAATACTTTCCATATAGGTCCATTTCTAACATCTAAACTGGCTTAAAGTATATAAGGTATACCAAAAAATATAATATTGTTTCAACATAAAAAAACTGATATTTACTTACATATTAGTAAGTAATAATGTTTACAAACTAACATCCTTAAAATTACTTAAATAATTATTATAAATCAAGTTGAATTACAAAATAGGAATAACTAAGTGTATGGATATAAGTATGAGACAGTCGATAAATATGATGAGTAATTAGATAACTTAAATTAATCATTAACAGATTGCTTAATACTTAACATTGATATAATTATTATTCATACATTGCATGGTGACTTAAGATATTTGAAGAATTAATTATTACAGTTTAATTAGTCGGCACAGGGTAATGGCACAATCTTTACAATTAGTCTAGTGTGATGACCAGTAGTGGTTTTTACTACAACCACCCTAACCTTTCCATCCTGAGCTACTCTGCATTCTGTTACCCGACCTAATGGTCATTGTAAAGGAAGAGGTATTATCCTCTTTTATCAAAACAATGTCATTAATTTTAATATTAGCTTGGAAACTTGTCCATTTGTTTCTGCGTTGCAACATGTTTAAATATTGAGTAGACCAAATTTTCCAAAATCGGTCTCTCATAGAAGTCATTTGCTTAAATACCTTACTGTGGTTAACTGCATGGTCTGATGTATATGGTTCCGGAAGCGCTGGACTAATGTCCCGGACTAATATTGGAAATATCAGTGCTGTCATCAGTGGTAGCCAAAAGTGGTCTTGAATTCAAGACTGCCTCAATCTGAGTGAGGACTGTGAGATACTCTTCATATGTCAGACAGTATGACCCTATCACTCTACAAATATGGTGCTTCATGCACTTTATGGACCCTTCCCATAGACCACCAAATGTGGTGAATATGACGGAATGAATTGCCATCTGATTCCTAACTGGGCACTAACTTCTATTAGTGAGTGTTTGACCATATCTTGTCTAAAGAAACGATATAGATCAGTTAGTTCCTTTTTGGCTCCTACAAAATTTTCTGCCATTGTCGCTGTGAATCGTACTACAGCAGCCACGGCGCGAAATGAAACGTCGCAACGTGGCAAGAATAGCATCAGTGGATAAGCTGGTTACCAGATCGAGGTGCACCGCCATTGTGACCATACACACAAACAAGGTTATGTAGGCCTTCACTCGTGGTGCTTTCCGTAGACGGCTGGCTCTCAGAGTTATCGGACCAGCAAAGTCGACTCCTACAGCCTGTAAGGGACGTTGCATGGTGACTCGATCTATCGGTAAATTGCCCGTCAGCTGCTCTGCTGTAGACGCTTTGAATCTAATATAATTAATGCATTTATTAATTATTTGTTTGAGAGTGCTCCTCCCACCTATAGGCCAATATTTCAACCTAACGTTGGCTAACACCGTTTGTGTTCCTGCATGCAATAGTCGTTCATGCTCAGAACGTAAAAAACATCTCAACTATTGCATGCCCTTGAGGCAGGATGATTGGATGCTTCTGCTCGAAGGGAATATCCGCATTTTCCAGCCTACCACCTACTCTCAATATCTCATTAGCATCAAGGAACGGATTTAATGGTTTTAGTTTCTTCATGCTTTCTACTTTTGTATCATATGGCTTACCAAATACTTCCCATTGCACTGCTTTAAATATATTATTTGTTATGCGCCGTAATTCGCCAGCTGATAACGTATGATTGATGCCTAAAAATTCTGCTTTTTTGTGCTAATGGTACCATCTCAAACAGTATGACATTACCCGAACCATTCGTTGAAATGTGGAAAATTTAGTAAATGCCCGAGGTAATCCGATCTCA